AGAAAGAAATATTTAAGCGAGAGAGTAAAAGCAATAAGATTATGCATCAAGACCAAAGAAACTTTCTGCTCGGGGTCGGCGAGGAGGATTGGGGAGGGAGTTGGGGGGGGGGGGTAATCAAAACGTGTTGGAATGCTAAAATTAAAAGGTTCGTACTAAGTATGGAGAGACGATGCGCTCTTAGGAGGGAGACAATAATGGTGACGAAGTCTACACAAACGTGCACTTGTATCGCCTGATTGAGAATCAAATCAACTTTCATTATAAATGTCGTCGTTTACATTGGTATTTTATTTTTTGTTGATTCTTTTTCGTTGTTTGTTTGTTTGTTTGTTTGTCTGCCTGTTTGTTTTTTGTTTGTTTGTTTGTTTGTATTTTTCCTCTTCAAGCATGGCCGCAAAGAATCTTCTAAGGAATGTCGAACCAGTTGTGAATTCATGATCTGATCCATTTCTTACAGTCTTCTTCTTTTTTTCTTCTTTTTTTCTTCTTTTTTTCTTCTTTTTTTCTTCTTTTTTTCTTCTTCTTCTTCTTCTTCTTCTTCTTCTTCTTCTTCTTCTTCTTCTTCTTCTCGTGTTGTTGTGCTTTGACAAAATGAAAACGCGATTCCCCTCTCATCCATGGCTCATTAGACCTATTGTAAGGCAGCCATAAACAGTTCAAGACAGCCGTAAACAGCAAACCTATCCCGTTGAAGCTCACGAAGACGGCTTTATCAATCTATGATCGAACATCTACAACCCGAATTCAGTTTTTCCCTGTCTGACCTTCGATCTGATTTTGTGGTCCATGATTGGTTTGACTTTGTGATCTCGAGATAATCGATAACCGTAGTTCACGAATTTTTTTGGAAATCAATACTCCAGAGGAAATCGATGGCTTGGGTGTTAGTTTCATTGGTGGGTTGGGTTTTTTCTCCCGGAAAGACGCCCAAGTGAAGTAATGGGTTTCCTTTGTTCGAGCGTTCGTGTGAGGTCTGTGCACTACCTAACGCCCTCACTCTGTACTTCTTTTGTATTGGTATTAACCTGGGTTTTTCTCTTCATGTCCTTTTTTTTTGCTTTCTCTCTCTCTCTCTCTCTCT